GTGAGTTCAACGAAGGAGCGCATAAGTTCGTTTTGCGTGGCTCTTTTCGTGCTAAATGGGAATCCACGAATTCGAGGATCATTTTGTTTTAATACTTGGTCGTCATATGGTCCGAATAGAGTACGTCGATTAGTGGTACCAGTGGCACGAATGAACAGTAACTCAGAAGTATCTATCATGCCTTTCCATGAAGTGAGAAGTTGACGTACTTCATCTTGTAGAGCTTGTTCATTGTAACGACGGAGACTAGATCCTGCACTATGAGCGGCTCCTTTTGCGGAATCATTGGCAGATTGAGCTCCTCCTTGTTTGCGACGGGTCGTGTATCGATGAAATGTTTTATGAGCGAGTACAACTGCTTCTTTAGCCAATGGACCAGTCGTTGCTTGTGGGTTCTTGACCTGTTTAGGGGCAAGAGATACGACCATGGCAGCAAAATGACCACCTCCTATCATACACATAAAAATATGAGGTCCTTTGTAAGATTCTGGAAACGGAACACCTTCATTATTGACTGGTACTTTGATCTGAGGTTTCGGAGAGAGTTGCTTTCGCTGAACAATTTCGTGCATTGGGGTTTCCTTTTCTAGCTCTTCATTTGTGAAAATCGCCCGGTATATCCCAAGGTAAGTGTTCTTCGGCATCGTAGGTGTTGTAAACCATATCATTGGAGCCTTTCCAGAGCCTCTCGTCCTTTTTCTTAAGCCAGGATTATCATCAAATTCATTGCTTGTTGATGCTATAACAGCTTGCTTCTTGAGTAATGAGCTCAATGTTGTTTCTTTGCGCCCTCCATCCTCTTCATCTTCTTCGGTATCTGATGAATCAGATCCTGACAGACTCTCGTCGAGGTCTCCTACCAGCTTCTCGAACTCAATTTCCGTTACAGCTTTTGCCCCTCGGATCTTTTGCTTTAAATTATAGTTGTGGAAATCCGATCGTACGTGACTCTTTTGGTCTTCCACAGTATAAAAAGTTACACTGCATAGCGAACAGGACTTTGATCCTACATCTCCGGGTTTGGTTTGTATAACTCGCTCGGTCGTGTCTGTAGGTGGATTGGTATCTGGTTGGTAGGTGTCGTCACTGGCGTCATTGGAATCGTCTTTGCGCGCGAGTGTTGATAAAATATCTTGTGGAAGGTCATAGACTATTGCTTGTTAGCTTGGAAATTCGCGCCCAAAGATTGCATTCCTACCGTATAATGGTCTTCTAGTTATATCCTCCTTCCGTTTTTCCATTTTGACGATGCGAAAGCTATTCGTTTGTATGAGGTGGGGGTTGATGGATGACTATTTGAAGTTGAGAATGTGCGCGCTTTACTGCTGAATGAGTATTTTGGTAATAGTTCTATTCAGTGTTGGTTGGCTAGTAAGTGTATATGCCGCTCAATAGTAAAAAGCAAACGATGAGAAGAACGTTTTGGAATGACGACAGTACGTACTCGAAAATTAAAAATGTCCGCTGCCTCCTGCGTACGACCTCAATCTCATCTGAGCTGACTCCTTATCTCCACGTGATCCTTTGATCAGCCCGGTCTTTAGTTTATCCTAGCGCCAACGATCCATGACATCAACCACCCTTGATGACGTAGGTTATTCTAGGCCCCAGCCTCAGTTGGCTGAGCAGAAGAGGCGTTATCGGCATTGGTTACCAAACAACAAAAACAACAAAAGCAAGGAAATGAAGTCTCGGGAGTCTTTGCTCCCTTTAAGTTCTGACACATAATTATCAATTGAAGGAATACAAATCAAGATAGTAGTCCTTTCTAACCAATTGCAGCCATTGAGTAAGTGTGGAGTTGATCTACATTGTATGCAGCTTGATCTCGTCAACAATCCAATTCTTCAAATTCCCATCTCATCCTCAGACTTCAGATCCCTTAAATCTCAATTCTCCACCTCCAATTCTCCACTATCACCATATCCCGAAATGTCTTCATGTTTTGGTTCAAGAAAGTCGAAAGGTGACGATGCTCGTCCATTGTTACCTCAATATGAGGATGATACTTCATTACAGAGAACGGTTCATCAGAAATTGCATACTTATCAGATGATTAGAGCTTTATCCAAGGGATTTATGCCATCTACTGAACAAGCCATAATCAATTTGAGAACTCTATTGGCATCAGATGTTTTAAATCCGGACAATCCAGAATTGACAGATAGTGGAAGACGATTGATCAAATTCTCGAAGCAATGGCTTACGGAGTTCATTGAATTGTTAAGAAATAAGAATGACGGAGATCAGATCCAAGACTTTATATGGTTCTTGATACACTCAAGAATCTCTGTCAACACATCAGATCTCATTGAAAGAGCCACAAGCACAAGAGCAAAAGCAGATGCCTCAGCTGGTAAGTATTGTCTATGGTATATATAATATCCTGATATCTGATCAGTCACAGCATACGCAAGTATCAAAACTGTTGGTAGTCTTCTATTGACAAATTCCGATTTTCGAATATTCCTTTCAGACCTCAATACCATTGGTCGACAGGTCTTTGCAGACACAGCAAAGACGGTATCAGATGTCGCAGAAGATGCTGCGAATAAAATTGAGCCATCGGATGTCGAAAATGAAGCAATGAAGAAGCCAGGAAAGGAAAGAAGTGAGCCCATTCCCAAAGAAGACCTTCAAGCTGAAGCAAGTGAGATTGGCGAAGTTGTTACGAATGGCTTCAAAAAGGCAGGTAGACAAGCAGGTGAAAGCTTGAAGGAAAACATTTCTGGAGAGCAGAGAGAGACTTTACGGTATCGTTTGAAGGAAGCGGTTACGAAATTGACAAAACGGAATGATTATTCGGACTCAGTCAACACAATTGGTCTTCTCATTCAGAGATACGCCAAAGCTTATTCTAGAGCTGTGGATGAATCTATCAGCGCTGTTCAGGATGATGTTGAACCAAACCCAGCCCTTGATCGTGCAGTGAAGAATGGTTGGTCTTTAATGAGTTCTTTTGGTGACAAGGATGCATGGAAAGAACTTGAGAAGCGATTCAACAAAGTTATGGAGCACTCTCAAAAAGATCCCGAATTCGAAAATCTCATGGGAGAATTGGCAAAATCAATTCAACAAATGCTTTCCGATCCAGAATTCTTCGATGCTGCCGCCAATAAGGTCGAGGAATTGAAAGAAAAAACCAAGGAAGTGGGCACCGAGTCTCCCATTCGAAAAGATATTGATAATTTGCTCAAACAAGCACGCACAACATTCGATTCAGTAATGAATGATCAAGACGTTTCCAAACTGGTTCACACAACGTTGAAAATATGGAACATTCTCAACCCACTCAATAAAACCTCCAACACCGAGCTCTTCACTGATCTCTCTACCGTATTAATACCCATGTTCATCTCCGCCATTCAATATGTACCAATTCCTCGTCTCGAGATATCTGTCCCAGAAATTGATCTTCTTCTTGAGAATCTCATCCTCGAACCCGGTAGAACTATTAATCATACCAGTTTTCTACCATATCGGCTCAAGATCCAAACCTATAATGATCTCTCAATTCAAAAAGCTCGATTCCGTACCTTTTCAAAGGTTACTTCTGTGGTAACAGTCAAGATTCAAGGACTGTCAATTAGAGCAGATGAAGTTGGATTCTGGCTCCGAGCACACAAAAGCTTGTTTTGGTTAGCCGATGAAGGAATCGCTTCTTTCGAACTTGATGATAGGGGTATCGATATCGAGTTCGATGTTGAAATCGGCCACAACAAACTTGAGAAAATACTTACTTTGAAAGATACACGTGTTAAGATCCATCATCTTTCATACAAACTCAGCAAATCAAAGTTCGCTTGCTTAGCCTGGTACGTCCTCTTTTATATTTAATCACTCATTGATATGCTAACTCAGATCCCAGGATCTTCAAACCTCTCCTTCGTCCTATCCTCCGCAAAACTCTAGAATACCAACTCTCCACCGCCTTGGCCGATTTCTTCCATGCTGCCAATCGCGAACTTCTCTATGCACGTGAACGTCTCCGTGCAACTAGAATATCCTCGCCAGATGATATTCAAACCTTTATTAAAGCAATCATCACGAGATTGAAGCCAGAAGAAGATCCGGATCTGTACCTAAATGTGGGAGTTCAAGGGGGTGCAAAGAGTAAAGGAAATGTTTTCAAGGGTGTTTATGCGCCAGGTAGTGTTGTTAGAGTTTGGGAGAGGGAGGGCAGGGATGCAGAGGAGATCGTGGAGGGAGAGGCAGAAAATAACGGCGGTTGGAGAAATGCAGTATTTGATGTTGGAGGACAGGGCCAAGGGGTTATGGGTTGGTAGGGAGCTATGAGCGTTAATGGGCGGGAAATATGGAATGGCGGTATGCATATCGCAAATGCAAGGTAAAGCCAGGGAGGAATAAAATTGTAAGATATATGACCACAGTTTCTATGTGGACTCGGTTTCCGGCGATTAATCTTATTTTCTCTTCTTTTTTCTTGTCTTACTGACGACATACGCATCGTGGGATTTGGACGGCATGGAAGGTACACGATTGATATTTTAGTAGGGTATGGTATCATAGTATTGTGGGAAGGCACACGCGCGGAATTCTTCATTTCAAACACAAAACACAATGAAAATCAATTTCTACCATGTCCCAAGTCTAGCAAAAGGGATGCATGAATGTGGAAAGTGAACTGGCCAAGTAGCTACTCTCACACAGATTAATGGTCAATATATAACATGAAATTTGAATCGGGAATTGCCTGGCTCTATTACTTCGAACGACAAATTATCCAAAGGCAGCTATAAATAGTCTCAGCATTGAAGAATTCCTGAACCTAATATTTCCTTTCTAAAATGTTCATTGGCTCCATTCGATTCAACACACATTCTGAAAACCATCTACATGGGTAGCCTGTCCTTTTTCAACCAATTTTTCTTTCAACTTTGAGCCATTTAGAATTTATCACCATACGAGCAGTAGTATCGAATCTGAGCACTGATTTCTTTGAAATCACCACCCATGGTAGTAGTGCCAAATTCACAACTCTATATCCCACCATCCAATCCTTTTCTCAAAGCAGTTTTAAACCCATAAATCTGCACTTTATCCCAGTCCCACACACCACTCTTTGTGTATTCATCCTGACGCAGTTGTTCCAAGACCTTTTCCTTACTCTCCGCATAGGCTAGAAGCACTGTTCCTTTTACTTGAGGCGTCTCTCCCTCTGGAGGTAAATCATCGAAGAATGCGCCTCCGAAAAGAATGGCACCAGCTTCGGCTAGCGGCTTAACGCCGGCGAGATGCTGGGGACGGGCTTCGAGACGTTTTTGGAGCACGCCTTCGTGGTCGGGAAGAATGACTAGCCATTCGTGTTTGGTAGGTGATGGAGTGGGAGATGTCATTGTTATTAGGGCGTATGCTGTAAGGTTCAGTTCTAGGATGAAGGAATGAAGGGTTGAAGAGAGAAAAGTATGAAGAGTGATGAAGGTATTGAGATTCATTTTATACTCCGTCTGATTTAGCGCAAGGGTTGTGGCACATGCGGCACAGAGAATGTATTTGTCATGTGCGCTTACCCGGCACCTTGCCTAATTAACCATATGCAATGCAATAGCAGAATCTAACCAGGATGGATGCGGACGGATTCCGAATTATAGTGTCACCAGTTGGTGTACGAAATGGCGCGGCACTGCAAAAACTGACCTGATAACATCTCTTGAAGTCTTGGTTCGAATGTCTTGAGAATTGTTGCACCAATTCCCTAAAGATTGAATGTTAAAGAGATAGATTCTGATATCAATCAATTGAAAAATGGGTTCGGTACAAATTTTGAAAGTTGATGAGTGTCCCGTCAGTTCATACACCTATTGGTGCGTGAGAAGTGGAAGGACATTATTCAAGCCGAGATTCGTGGTAATTATAAGTGTCATTTACTTTTCTCAAGTGGACTATTTTCGGTCTTCAGACTACCCATCGTCGTGTACATGATATTTCATCTCTAATTCTTCCATTTTTCATCCCGGTGGTTTCAAAATGTTTCCTACAAAGACACAGATTGTCATTATACTGTAATCACTATACAGTGTATCATGCAGCATTGACCGGGTGGTAGATTCACCAGTTATCCTCCCTATGGTCTTCCCGAGTGAAATCGCTCTTCACTGTTACGGTTCCTGGAACAGGATGGAGTTCTTGTCGAGAGTTGATGCTTGAGGATTTCCTGGCCACCGTTACTTCTCTTGTGACAGCCGGTTTGTAATTTGCAAGATAGAAGTTATCCGCATTGCTATCTTCGATTTTGGTTGTTCCTTTCCGGCTAGCATTGGAAACGAGTCCACGATACGCCTACTAGGCTCACATAATCCCGAACATGTCTCAGAGGCTTGACAAGTGGTGAATAGGTCGGCATACATGCCACAAAGTAGCCTACGGCAGGATCTATTACCGTCCATGAGAACTTGCTTGTGAACCCTGTGAAGCCAAGTCAGTGACAGCTAATTGATAGATTTGCAGATGTGTAACTCACAAGTGACGTCTGGCAAAGTTGGGCCGTATTCTAATACTTCGCTCGAGATAACCGCAAGACGGATAATCGCGATGATTATAGTACTTTATCAACGGTTAACCCGGACCACAAGATATACGACAAATAGAGTGACTTACAATGCACCAACTGCAAAGATTGCCATCACACCTATTCTCTTGCGAAGCGAAAGGCGAAGCTTATAAATAGCATTTATCGGGAGTGTTAGAATGCACATATCGAAGGCACGTTGAAGGCTTGAGCACCCAACAAAAGGTCGATACAATTGAGACATTCGCCTGGGGTGGATTTGATCAAGGCTTCTCAGATAGACCTGCACTGAATTCTCTGATGAGGTTCTTCAGGACAACGCAAAGAACAATCAAGGTGCTAAGGATGATTGCGGAGGTTCTGAAATTCCAGTTATGAAAATGTGATGTTACAAAGAAGAACGGAGATCTTGTAGAAACTTTATATATGATCCTTGAAGACTAGTTTGGTGACTCGCATGATTCGTGCTAAACGATTGTCCCCCCCATTCTCATCACGAGGTGACACACAAGTTGGCCATGTAAACAATAATATAGAACTCCAAACTATGTATACTGAGTTTAGTGGGAACTGCACTCGCGTAGCTTTACCGGTCTACTTCAATCAAGTATTTCTTGGCAGCGAGCTAAGGATAATCGTATTGTATTGATATTGTGCGCAATAACTTGGCTACGCTTCTTAGAATGAAATAACCGAATTTTCGCAATCTTCTCAGAGTGTCTGCACACGTATTGTAGTCATGAAAAAGAAATACCGGTGGTACTTTTGCATATGATATTAAAGAGGGAATTCGAGACCCCAGTATAAGATCTAGGATTTAACCAGATGAAATTTATTTCATCTGCAACAAAATCATCAATATTCACCATTTCAGACCACTGCGTTGCACAACAATTTAAGTGAGAGATGCCCCCGCGACCAACTAATGACTTCTGCCGAAGGATGTTCGTGCCATGTAAGTGCAGATGAGTATTTGCTTTTCCGTTTTCTCACGCGACGCAAGGCTTATCTTTCTTTCTGACCGAAATATAAAAAAATCTTGCAACACTTTCCTTAGTTTTCCCATTCTCAACTTTGTAATCCAAAATACTAGCAAAGTACTATGTCCAAAACGTTGTTCTCTACAATGATCTTAATAAAGACACGAGTGGCTCGCCGTTATGCTAGATCATCTTGGAATTCTTCAAGATTAATTCGAAGTGTACCTGCAGTATATTTCTTGTACCAAACTTTTTATTGAAGTAGAAACTCTTCTGTTTAGTGGTACATTTTCCGATTTAGAAGATGTGATGACAAGCGAGCAGCCGCGGATTAAAGGAATAATGCTTTTGATATGTGCAGACAGTGAAGAGAAAGTATTGGAACAGCTGAAAAAGGATATTTGTATAGGGAGTGGTATTGAGAGTTAGAAGAAGAAGAAGATTTGAGGGCTAATGGCAGCGGTTAGGAATGGACTGGAGGCAGGGCATAGATTTGGGTATTTCTGTAGATTTTGGACTTCCAAAGCACAGGAGTCTGAATTAGATAGCTTGATTACATGCTTAACAATGAATTCGACCGGTGGAAGTGGACAAATGCATTGCTGGATGAAAGAATATTGAGAAAAGAATTTAGGATTTCAAGTGAAGTAAATAGATTGTATAATGCGACCATCAATAGGAACTGAAAGGGGAAAAACTATGTGACGAAATGCGTATTCATAATCCTGACAAAAAATGAGATCATAATCGATATGTCTTTTGATCTAAATAGAGACCTTGACATGCAAGACAAGCCATATGCCTAATTTGCGACTCGTATACTTCGCTGTGTTTATTTTAATACTCTCTTCGCTCCCCTTGGGTGATGTGCAGTTTAGCACCAGACAATATACGCTCTTGCCCAGAAACCATATCAACAAACTTTGTGACCTCCTTTCTTACAAATAGCTTAAACCAATGCTTTGCAGGATTGAAAGATTATATCATGGCTTGCTTAATCCCTTGATTGGGAAATCAAGTACATAATGAAGGCTTTGCATAGCTCTTTTGTCAAGCAGCTGTTGCAGTGTAGAAGCATTTTGAGAAGGCCCTGCAAAGTCTAATCCGGAGGATAACATCGACCAGTTCGATTGTATGCCTGTCGCAAATCTTTTCTGTATAGAATTGATAGGCTGAATATAGGTGGTCCTGGTACAAGCATCAATGACCCCGTCCAAAAGGGACCTTGATTTACTTCTCTTGTGATATAAGAGATTATCTAGATTGCTTGACCAAGGAAACAAGATCTTCTTTGTGATTTCCCGAAACTTTTCCCTAAATATTGCAGCTACAGGGAAAGTTAACAGAGATTGCTCCAATACCTCTGTAGCAAGTTTAACAGCTTCATCATCATCTTTTCCCAGTTCTCTATTGATTTTGGGGAAAAATCGAACAATGACATCTGTCAGATTCAGTATAGCGAATACTTGTAAGACAGGCTGATAGGCACAACTATAGTGAGCACGATAGCTATCAACGACAGCAAGACCGTGTTGTGCGTGTTGCCAAACGATTGTACTTAGACAAGAGGTATCGAACAGTCGGAGGTCCAGAAGCGGATAGAGGAGCTGGACAACAGCTGTAGCGTATAACAAACTGATCATTTAGTGAGTGTGACATTGTGTTGGGAAGTTGTTTGAATCTTACTGAAGCGAAAGCACATGTGGCAATATATGAGTGTCTTTGTTATCTGTCTTACTGATGATGCTTGGCAGAAATTTACGCCAAGCTACCAATTTGCCATAGAGATGCAGAATGTCCGAGGCCGCTATTCGAGAACTGTCGGTATTATACATTAGAATACTAGTAGTCCGAATTATGGCCATAAGATTCATTTTCTCTCGATTGGTTGTTGCAATGAGGCAGTGGCAGTTCGTGACGGTATCACCATCATTGGGGTATCTATACATTCCCCATATCATACTATCAATCTCGGCATCGTTTTTTTGGATTTCTTCAATGGATTTCGTTGCAGGAACCTCTACAATGAGAGCCGTTGGCATCCTAAAAGTTACCTGAGCCCACTCACTAAACCTGTTAGTTATGATAACATACATGCTCAATTGGGCTGAATTATTGAAAAGTCATTAACTTACATATTTAAGTTATTAATACCAACGACGGTGTCACGCCAAACTTGCCGGTACGCCTCACTGCCAAGGCCGATATGTTCCAAATTCATTAATGAGTTACTTGCGACTTCCAAGTATGCTGAAGCATGCATTCCATATCCTTGTGCACAGTCTATTAAGAAGAGAATTGCAAAAGCCTGTATAGTCATGAGACTCATATCTTCGGCATTGATATTGTGCTTTACCACATCAGCAAATCTCTGGCCTAGCTCCTTGTAATTCGTCTTGTCGCCTTCCAAGATTGTATGCAAATAGCATGCCATTGTGCAGATAGCATTGAACAGAAGGGGCGAGCAGAATTCATTGGAATTATTCTGCATGCTATTCACAAAATGCTGCTCATTGAATAAGGAATGAGAAGGGTGAACCCAAGTAAAATACAAGGAGAATAAGTGATGAAGAACATCTTTATCTGCTGTTACTGTTGTCCAATGGAAATCTGATGTATCTAGACCATCAACTTCATTGTCAACAATTCGTAACGTAGATAGCTGCTCTTTGACATCGACAGTGGTTTCTAGCCATTGTGCTATATCTTGAATAGAGTCCCTGTTCCTTATCCGATTGAGGATTTTGCGTTCATCATCCGCTACTGCAAGACTTTCAAACACCCGTTCTGCCATACGGTTGATTGCATGGCTCTCTTTGAGGGATTCGACCAGTTTCTCCTTTACAATTTTGGTATGAGTTCCATAGAAGCATTCTCCAGCTTGGAATTTTTTGATACAACGACTGCAAGGCTGCTCGCCATTACACTGAACGGAACTGTCAGTAAATTGAACTTTGGCTTGTAGTATTTTCGCTCTTCCAATGTTGCAGACTATATACCTTTGATCGGGCTATTTTACAACTGGTGCATGCATTTGACGTTATCAAACATCCTCTTTTACGTTTAGAAACCTTCTTTCCTTCTCCATGGATACCAGCGGATGGCTGCGTGTTGGCTAAACTTTCATCCTGACTGTTGGATGTATCCTCGTTTCTTGAACGCCGAGGAGAGCTGAGCTGCATTTTCAGGATTTTGGAATATTGCTTTCAGTCGAAGTTTGCGACAACCGTCAGGCAATGGTGTGAAAACATAGTTTGCTATCATTTTGGGGTCCAAGCTCTCTGAACAAGAATCTCTGTGTAAGATCGGGCTGCTCTTGTGTAATTTTCCGTTAATAATCGATGTCAGCCATGTATCACCATGCTTTTGATTTACAGCTGTACGTACGCATCCACTTGCGAGCCTGCCAAATGAAAGCATCTGTCAATCAAACGATCTAGCCTGTCTAAGCGAGAACCCTAATAGATTATGTAACTATGAATTTCTATCAGAACAGCATTTTAAAAGCGGCGAGTGTTGTTCATTTGGCAGGTGCGTAGGCTCACTCTGGACGAAATAAACGGCACACCGAAAATGCAATATTATTTTCAAAATTCTGTTTTTAAATCAATAATCAATATTTTTGATTTTGAATTGAAATTAATTATTTTAAATCTAATAATTTATAATATATCTTTGATTGTTTATTTTATTTTATTATTCAGAATTGTTATTCAATTTTGAAATAATAGTGTTTTGAAGAAAGTCTCGATTTTGGCGGGTTTGGTGTGCCGTTTTTTTCGTCCAGAGTGAGGTAGGGTACCTAGATATCTATTATTATGGAATAAAACTATATATCGTACATGAAGTACCTACCTAGTAGGCAATAGCTAGGTTTCTAATTAGCAAAAGTCGAAACGCAAGCCAGATGTTCATTATACCGATTGAAGTCTGCTTTCTTTTTACTTCTATATAAAATCGTGAAAAGAGCTTCCGAAGGCCCTAGTGTTACCACTAAGAAATACCGCTTCCCCACTTTACCAAGCACGATACAATACAAAAAATTGAACCAAATACAGTTCTGGGCATCTTTCGTACTACAGTATACCATGATTGGAAGAATAGGAAAACCTTCGTACGGTACGCTGCTTCAGTGCTCTCGAATTAGTGTCCCAGCTCTTACCACGAAACCAATGACCTTAAGCCACCGTCACATTCACATGTCACCCTCACCATCGCTCAAATCATCGACCACACCGCCCATTCCCCTCGTTGGTCTTGGAGTATTTATCATCCATCCTACTCACCAACTTTCCACCCGTGAGAATCCTATGTATCTCCTAGGCGAACGCATTAATTCGACTGCAGCCAACACGTGGGGTCTTCCAGGCGGACACTTAGAATTCGGCGAAACTTTTGAAGAAGGTGCATCCAGGGAGGTTTTGGAAGAAACCGGGTTATACATTCCACCCAAAGAACTAAAGTTCTTCCGCTGTAGAAACCTGATAATGAAGGAGGAGAAAAGACATTTTGTGTCAATTTTTATGGTAGGAGTCTGGGATGGGAAAGGGGAAGGGCCAAAAGTGATGGAGAAGGAAAAGTGTAGAGGGTGGGAATGGGTGAGTTGGGAAGAAACGAAAAAGTGGGTTGAGCTGGAGAATGCTGGAAGGAAGCTATTTCCAGGGATGGGGAGCTTGGTTAGAGAACTGAAGGGCGTGGCTCCTCCATCGTAACATGGGGTTTATAGAGGCCATTTGAGCATCTGTGAACCCGAAGTCATGCAGGCTATATTCAGGCTTATGCAACGCTTTCAAGTATTTTTGGTGCGATGTCCAAATGCGTAGTGTACACAGCATATAAGACTATATCGAGAAAATCATACCATTTCTACCTCAAGGCAAGCGTGCCTGAATTTTCACCGTGCTCTTCGAAGTTGTCAGCACCAGGCTATCCACTTTTAAACAAAGTTATTGCAAAGGCCCCCTAGATAATGGATAATCTTTATCAAAATGTCTACTTATTCCGGTAAATTTCAGTACGACGACCTGTCAGAGACAGATTCGATTCGACTTTTGATCCTCCACCCAGGCACACTAGGGTCCCCAATTCAAAGCGATCTCATTCACACAACATTACGTGATTGTCGCTACGATATTCATGGGAATTACACGGCTCTTTCCTATGTTTGGGGCGATGCAAATGATACAACCTACATTTTTGTCGATGGATTTCGATTTGCTGTTACCGTGAATCTCGCCGCAGCTTTACATGATTTGCGAGATGAGAAGCGACAGCTACGGTTATGGGCCGATGCTATTTGCATCAACCAGACAAACAACCTTGAACGCAGTCAGCAAGTTGGCTTGATGAAAGAAGTATATAGTTATGCGCAGACCACAGTGATCTATTTAGGAGCTTTGGTAGAGCAGACGAAGAGTTTATTTGAGCTCATGAACCAACTAGATCCGGACAGAATTAAGCTTCTAGAAATGGTCGATGACGCAATTAAAGATATCGTGTCACGACCATGGTTCACTAGGGTATGGGTGTATCAAGAACTAGTGCTCTCAAACGTAGTATTCGTGCAAGTTAGGCGACTGCGAGTTCCTTGGGATTATCTCTGCGAGGTTTTGTTGGACAGATATAGAGACCCGAGAGAGCGAAATAATCCTCACAAGGATAGAACAATATTATCAAAGACCACATTGGATGTATGCCACGACAAAGACTCAGCAACAGAATCAAGAACGTCCCACTTGAACTCAATTGTCCCAACTATGCACGAGATACGACATAATCACGATACGCAAAGCTACCGATTACTGTGGAATATGTATGAGGCAAGGAGAAACTATCAGAATTGCTTAAGGTATGGAGGAAGAGTGGTCTCCCTTCTGGATGTTTTGATTTCTCGAAGAGGTTCAAAGGCTTCGGATTTGAGAGACATAATATACGGCCATCTGGCTGTCGTGGACCTTCAGCTCAAACGCACATATGAGAGGAACAATGACTCCGTACCATGGCCATTAATTCGCAGCCGGAGCCCACAAAATTACATCCCCGTCGTAGATTATACTAAGAGTGTGGAGGATGTTCTCAATGAAGCCGCCCGTTTTACCTCTTCTTTTCGGTCTATACATGGCCTATTGAATATACTGTATAATGCAGACGTGAACGCATCATACACTCGAAGAAGCAATCTTCCTTCCTGGGTACCAGACTGGACGCTGGATACAAGCAGTCTTCAGGGTCTTCCTTGGTTCTTTGACGAGACTGATATTCGGAATATTTCTGAGGACACGCAAGCTGAAGAATCGATATCAATAACAATAAACGGAATTTCAAGAAGGATATTGCAGCTGAACTCCATACCCGTTTATCCACATATTTTGTCTTTTGTGTATGACGGTAGTTCTTACGAACTACAAGTCGTTGAAAAGGTAGCCCGAGTAGTAGTAGAAGATGAGCTGGCATACGAATCTGCTAGACAGAAATTAACTGAATCTGTCATAAATATGTTCAAGTTGAGGGACGATTTGGGGATGCAGCACCAACTTGAATATAAGGACGTTTTTCGACTGATTTGTTCTCTTTGGAAAAGCTTGGGAGCAGCAGGTATACATCCGATTACATCCGAAGACCTGCCTTGGTATCCAGAAGATGCTTTGATCGGTTATTTATCCAAGTTCACGCGAGATCCGATGAACACTTTCGACTCTTTCAGAAGCCCAAGCAAGCCATATCCAAACTTTCTTATCAACATAATCATCATTGCCTTGAGAGGTAGGACTAGCCTAGACATATTTCGGGGATGAAATTCGCAAGATTTTACACTGGGGAAGTCGGCGTTGTGCCTCCTGCAACGGAACAAGGTGATTTCACCCTTACCGAATTGAGAGACGAAAAAGACGAAAATAGCCAAAACTGCTGTATGTTTCGATCAAAAGAAGATCTCAAAAACGAAACATACAGCAAGGGTACCCGTGCAGAGATTGACACGGGGTTCAAAGGCTTTTTTACTGTATACCATTGCACATATCTTGGTAAAGCATGGGTTGACCGTCACTCCCCAGAAAAATTAGCTTTCAAGGTTGCGAAAAGAAATGCCAAACTAGATCGTGACGTTAGCGTCATCGCCATTCATTAGTTTTGAGAACCATAGACTTGTGTGTATTGGAAATACATCACACTCACACGTATAACCAATAGTCCGCTTTTCAATGGAAAGCGTATCGCCTTGGATATCACATGTCATTTACTCTAATCTCTGAACCAAAGATTCCCAACTTAAACTCTCGACTTCTCACCTTCTCATCAACTACCATCTGTTCCTTAAAAAACAACCTCCAACTCTCATTTACCTCCGTAAAATCGAAAAATAAACACCTCAATGATCCTCCACTAAAATCTCTCTGACTTCCATCTACCCGCTCTTTGTTCCTCGACATCTCCATAGGTGCTTCAACAGCAACAACCAAGTCCACTTCTCCAATCTCTCTATCTTTAATCAACTACTCTCTGTCCATCTTCCTCACCTATTAACTCTCATCTCTATCCATAACTCTGCACAATCATACATACATCTCCCCTCAAATCTCTTCTTTCCTTATATCTGAAACCATACCCCATTCCCATGCCATGCCATCCCATCTCCAAATCCCCATCCCTCCACTCCCACACAACCTCCAACCAACTTACATCTTCCCATCCAATACCAAACCATCCCACAACATGACATGATATTTACCAAAGTAACCACTAACTACACTTCTCTTTCTTTATCCATCTCCCGAGTCTTCCACACCAAAATTCCACAAAAAAACCCCAAGAAAGAATTCAGAAATCCGAGAACATCCTCCTGACAAGCGCACACGTACTCGCTCGCTAACTACTAACCACTCTACTCAAAAACGCATATATAAAAGAAGAATAAACAGCGTGTGTTTAAAACATAATATACGAAATAATTCCAAGCTGTAGATCTTCATTTATAAACTTTGGATACATGGATTTTTAGAGTGTTTAGAGATATTGAGATGGTTGGATAGTTGGGTAATGAGATGGGACTACTAGATAGGTACTTTTGTTTCCCGATCTTTACAGCTAGTATTCAATAGATATAAAAGAAATGCGTCAAACCATCTGACAATCCTCTTCTCTGTCCTCCCCCTCTCTCCTTTCCTCTCTATCCCATCATCTTATCCCATCATCCTATCGTCCTATCATCCCATCCACCTTTCAAACTATACAAACCACAAACTATATACAAACCACAAATTCCAAACTACAAATTCCAAATTACAATTAACCCCATCCAAATATACCTATCTACATATATTAAAAACACTTCCAAATATTCATTTATCATTTATTATCTATTACCTATCACTCATTATTTATTATTCATCACTCATCATTTATCACCCATTCAGTACTCACTACTCACTACTCATCACTCAGCACTCACCACCCATCTACCTACCCCATACTCATACACCTATCAACTTACAGCCCATCCACCTATCCACTCATCCATTCCTCTCTCCTCCAAACTCTCATCGCAATACTCAATACTATAATTCATTACACATACCTACACATACCTACACACACACACATTCTCCATCTACCCATCTCCCTCCCAAAACCAAACTACTCTACTTCCTACCGAATTCTACTCATAATATAATACCCCGGGGCCTACCTACTTCCTACAAATCAATAAACAATGAATCAAGAAATCACAACATCACAACAATCAAACACCATCAAAAAATAGCATTTCAACAATCTATTCATCAATCCACAATTCCCACACATTCCGTTCCATCCCAATCCATTCCATTTCAATTCTCCTCCTTCGTTCCCCTTCAAATCAAGAATCAATAATCATTCAAGATACAGAATAACTCGCTCTTCTATCCATACATATATACGCTATGTGCTTCACTCCACTCCACTTCAACCCTCCCTATTTCACACCTCCCCTTCCCTGCCCTTCCCATCTCCTCATCTCAATCTACACCCTGTCCCACCCTTTCCTACCCCCCTCGCTTCCATTCTCGCTTCGATATCCACCAAAATATTTTTCTCCATCCCCTCTTCCCACCTAAAGCCCTTCTTCAAAAGAGAATAAAAGAAAATCCTCTCAAAGAAAATTCAATCAAGAAAGTTCCATTAGCACTTCACCCAAACCCCAAACGCCAGTCGTCCCGCTGTCTCACGACGACACGTATATATTTTGAGCTCCATCCCATTATATTCCGAACCCAAAACGCTTAATTCACAGCCCTCAACCCAAAATTCACTGGACAAGCGAAAAAGTAAAACTTCCTCCCTCCAAGTAATGCTACTACAAATGAAAAATGAAACAAATGAAAATCCTCTCATGCTAAATGCCAGCGCCATGTCTGTGTCAAAACAGAGTATCCACCTGTTCCACGACCCCATAAATCAAGTGTTTCTTCAATCTTCCCAATCACCCAACAACAGCTTCCCCTTCTACTATTCCACCTCCCTGACCCAACAAACTCAATTTCGAACTACTTCCCCCCTGACCCCCTAATCCTCCCAAACTACCCATTGAATTTCTGTTCTTCTTCTTCGCCTTCACAACGCTTTGAGCATCCTTTTTCTTCGCATCAGCAGACTCTTTTTCCGCTGCTTGTTGTGAACTAAAATCTTTCCATTTGCGCCAACCATCGAAGTCGATCAATGCTTGCATACATCCCCATTCCATAACTTTACGTTCGAGCCAGACGAAGTTAACGGGCTGTTTGAAAGCGTGTTAGTACATTATTCAAAATATCATATATGTAAACGAATTACAATGAAATAAACAAACCTTTGTCAAGAAATCATTACAACCCGCCGCCAAAGCCTCGTGTCTATCGCTCTGCAACGAACTAGCCGTCAAAGCCACAATGATGACCGGACTCTTAAATAGTACCGTATCTGGCAATTTATCACCTTCCTCTGGTTCCTCTTCCGCCAACATTTTTTCGCTAGGTGCACTACTACTTGCACTACTGCTAAAAACTCCAATACTATTGAGTCTCTCCAGTCTACGGATCTCCTTTGTGGCCTCGAGTCCGGACATGATGGGAAGTTGGATATCCATTAGTACTAAATGGAAACCACCGCCTCTCCACTTATTCACGGCTTCGCGACCATTCATTGCAGTTTGCCAGCGGACTTTGAGACGTTTCATGAAGGCTTCCAGAAGTTTCAAATTGATAATATTATCTTCAACGATGAGGACATTGATTGGGGGGACTGCACCATTGAGCATGCCTGCTGGTAAAGAAGGATGATCGACACCAGCTTTCTTTCTAGTTCTCTTCTGTGGCCGGGGGGACGATACCCTGGGAGGAGGTGTAGCGACTCGTTGTGGTGCGAGTTCCTGGTTTGGAGCAGGTGGTGTTGGAAGTGGTGGGGGAGGGGGAATTGCGGATTTTTCTGAGGCACTTGAGTGAGTTCTTGATCTTGGGCCACGTTGAAATTGCGTACCATTATTTGTAACAGGGGGTTGACTGTGTCCACTGATGACTGTAGGAGAAGAAGTATGAGTTCGTCCTATCCTTGGTCTCGAGCTATGATGCCTTCTCTGAGCCGATGGAGAAGGTAAGGCCGGTACATGACCAGTTGTAAGTACGGACATAGCGTGTGCTATCAAGGGAGCTGTATTCTGGTTTCCATTAGGGACCGGGACACTATGCGATAAGCCTGGAGAAGGAACCGGTAATGGCATAGGTGGGAAGTAATCAGATCCAGCTTCGGTAGGCCGTCCTTCTTCATAATATACCGGATGTCCATTGGGCCTAGGAGACGGTTTGGGTGTTCTTCTAACGGGTACATCAATTACTAACGCTTCATCCACTGTTTGACCACCGGGAAAATATGCGTCGAGTGTTCGACTCATCGGCTCTTCTGGTCCTAAAATTCTTTCCTGCCTCTGCTGCTCTCTTGGTATAATCCTTAATGTAACATCCGGCGCATCAAAACTTCTTCCCAGCGAATTCGCATATTTCTTCAAAATCATATCTCGCACATCGTCGACCAAATCATCCTCATGTATTGTAACTAATGTCGCAGAAGCACCGGGCCTTTTAACCCATATCTTTCGAGTAACCATCGCTGCGCTTATCGTTAAAGCTCCGTGATTGGAAAAATAATCAGCACCAAGAATTCCTCCCGTTGGTATGCTGTTGACTTGAGGTTGTGCTGGCAATTCTGCTTCCAATAATGTCTTGATTAATTTTGTTTGTTGATGGGGAAGTAAACTTTGTCGTCTAGATAATTCGGGTTTTCGAGGTGTAGGTTGATGAGTAGTGTTGTTGGAACTGATAGGGCTTTGCGGTATCGAATTGCCAAATTTCGCGTCTTTAGGTTCTAGTTGCGGCTCGTCCTGAATTTCATCCTTTGCTTCTGCTTCCTCCTCTTCGTCTTCTTCCAACACCCGCGGTATATCTGTATTCGGAGTTGGAAAATCTGTTGACGTGGAAAAACTATCGTGTTTATTATTCTCTTCTTCGATAATTAATTTTGAATTGGCGAAAGGTTGTTGTTTGAAATTTGGTGTTGATGGAGAGGTTGTCTGTGAATGTTGATGAAGTTGTTGTTGCAGATCGCTACTCATATTATTTCGAAAGTTTAACCTTAGTTCGGCGCCAATTCCATCTCCCTGTTGGTGGCCTTCTCTTCCTCCTCCTCCTCCTCCTCCTCTTCCTCTTTCCCCTCCGTCCCCTCCGCCCCCTCCGCCTGCTTCGATACCGATATTATCATTATCATGAACTTCAACCTGAATTACCTCTTCAAACCTTGATGTTTCTTTTGGACTTTGATTACGACTTTCAACCATACTATTCCGATTACCAGAACCCGTACCCGTACCATTCCTTGACGACCCATTTGTTGACCCTCCATATATCGATGTTCGATGCAATCTGAAACTCGCCCTTTCTCGCAAAGTTCGAGTTATCGATTGTTGATTCTTGTCTTCTTCTCCCTCTCGAGAAGGATTCTTTTCCTCGTCATTATTCGCGGACCCTACCGAGGAAGCATGTGAATGTCGTCGTTGAAATTTCGCTCTCAATCGTGTTTTTAAATCTCCTATCGTCATTTGGAATCGTTGAATGTGATTCTTCT